TTCGAATAAGTTGCTTTCATCAACCAAACCAGCTGAAAATCCATCAACTGGTTTTTTACAGAGATCTGAAAATGAAACAATAAGAATTACAAACACCCAATTAAGCAAACAGTCCATATAATGAATTATGAGTACAAATATATGAAAAAGCAAGGATCTTTACATTCAAATTAAAGGAAACAACAAAAATCTAAAACACCCTTTGAGTTGAGTAACAAAAAGAGTGGCAAAAAACTCAATACCTTTGAGCTGTTTCTGAAGTAGAAGACTAGCTTGAGAAGGAGAAGCTGAAGCCATCAACAACTTTATAGTGAGTTAGAGGAGATTGAAGATTGAGATTATGGAGAGCAGTGCAAAGGCAAATTTTGTGGATGAGATTGGATTTGAGGAGTTTTTTTTTTTTCAATTGTTATTAACAGATTGAAAACATAATAATGTAGAACATTAGAGTGGTCCTACATTTTATTTTATTTTCACTCGAGGTCCAATATTGGTAATTTCGTATTAGAGTTGACTAATTTAAATTTGTGTAGTGTAGGGCTCATATGATGAAAGTGTTTTCTATTAAAAAAAAAGTTCCTATCTTGAACTTGAACTCAAGACATCTAGTAATCTCATCTACCACATCTTGATGGTATAATCAAGAGGTTGCCACCTCGATAGGAAAATGGATTCAAGATTTTAACTTTACATATTTTCATTGAGAATTTTTACTATATTTAATCTACTTAATTAAATTTGAAATTTGTTGTTTCTATTTATTGTTGAAGTTTCACGTTAAGTGGAGATATAAAATTAATCTTTTGATATGATTTTAAGTGATCCACATAATTCTCAGAGTTGAATTAGACTTAATATATTTGTTTTTGTATCATGATATCATATTCAAGTTCGTCTCAATTCATCAGTGAAATTTCTCTAATTTGTCTCTTATTTGTTTAGCATATGATTATTTTATTTGTTTCTCTCGCAACTTTAAAACCTTTTAGATTATGATTTAAGAATTCATTTTAAATAAATTTTAAAACTTGTAAGAAATATTAATAACATACTTTGAAATTTTATAAGTAATAGACGATCGATAATTTAATATATTATCTATAAAATTTAACATTATACGAGCAATATATGTGTCAAGAAAACTTTTGATCACTCGCTAATTTATACATACCACTCTTTAAAGTTATAAAATGAAGCTTTTTTTTTTAACTTGTATGTTTTGGTGCAATAAATACACTCGTAAGTAACGTAACCACATAAAATGAAGGGTGATTAATTGAACATATTCTCCATCGAAAAATTATATGAAACATATACAAAAATATATGGTATATATACATCAAAAATTACTTTATGTATTAAATTGAACGCCTTCAATGAAATTTATGTTTATCGCTAATAAACATATTCTAATATTGTAATCAACACTTTCTTGTATATATTTTTCCTTTTCGATTTTTCATTCAATATTTAATATTATATTGTGATTCAATAATTTGAATTTGCATATTGCATGGTCTATTATGAAGGGCGAAGCTCCAAAAAAGATTTTTCTCATTTTTAAAGACTCAAATTCAAAATCGCTGATTAAAAATAAAGAAATTCTCTTTCTTGTGGTATACCTAACCTAAGGAAAGTGAATCATATCCAGAAATAGACTAAGATGCAAAGGACCATACTATATTAAACTTGGACCATATGTGACCCAAAATTAAAGTGTCTATATTCTTTTAGTATATTGTTACATAAATGATTCCACTTCTCTTCTTTTGAGTTTCCTTAATTTAAAGAAAAAACATTTTTTTTTTTAAAAAAGTTGAGCTAGGTCCTCTCTTTTTTCTTCGTTTTTAATTTTTTTTGTATCCAGTCAAACTTGTTGAGTGAAGCTAACTACTTGGGGGCCTTTTGTGTTGATTTGAGAAGGGTTCGATCAAGAGTTGAAGTCGAAAAAAAAAGAGTGTTATAACCAGCTTCAGATATTTGAGTAAAATTTATACAAAAACTTCAATTATTTTGTCTGAAATTTAATTTTGACAAAACATAATTGATTCTAAAACGAATAGACTTCCGAAAATTCATGAATTTTGATTATGCTTTAAATAAGAATCCTCAAATTGGCTATTTGTGCACTATTAGTGCAAATATGCACACATAAAGCTCTGGGCCCATCAAGATTCCTGGCCCTGGTGATAAGCCCATTGCATATGAGGCCCATATCAATGATAAGACAAAATTAAAGGCCCATTTTGATGAAATTGACATATGCGGGCCTGATTATTGATAAGACTAACTTTATTAAAGGCCCACTTTGTTCCCCACAAACTTCTTCTTATCCTTTTTTTTTGTCAAAATCATTGGATTCCTTCACTTACACACTTCTCGAAAAAATCGCACGGCTTGTCTTTCAAATAGATTAATCTTTAATTTTTACTCTTCAAATAAGCTAGCTTAGTGAGACATGCGTTCTTTAAAAACTGAAGTCATGTTTGATTATAACTTATAAGATATTATAATACGAAATAAAATCTTATAACGAGGGTATAAATTAAAGACCAATATAAACAAGGACAAAAGTGTAAATGACCCTTGATTAAGAGGATGTCTTACAAAAATTATATAAGAGGGCCCAAACTAAAGCCCCATCCAAGTCTATTTATACTCGGAAATAGCGGTCACTAGCCACTTTTCGATTATATTTTAAAAAAAAATAGTAATTGGCATATTTTTTCTTTTGTGTAATTCAAAATTCTACAACGATGGCTATAAAGTGATTGTTTGTGAATTTTACTCGTCAAGTGAGTTAGAGACAAAATTTGAAAATGTCAATTTTTTGATGATTTCATCTATTATGATTGAGTTGCGAAAACTTCCGAATAGATATCTTAATGGATTTTTTCTAGTTAAAAGTTTATACATTGATTTTTATTCTAAGGACAACATGCTTGATCCCGTTTATATAAAATCAAATCAATAGGTTCTAAGAATAAATAGACAACAAGATGGCAGTCGAAAACTTTTCTTGAATTATTACATCGGCATAAACATGATATTAATTAATCTATGTCATAATAAAAAGTATGAACATTTTAGGCTAACCAAATTGAAATTAAAACAAAGGCCAATTAAAGTATAAATTAAAACGTACTGTGGAGGTTGAAAGTTGAAAGGTTAGTGCACGTGAAATGAGTATCGAAATGAGTCGTGGTAAGATGATTGAGATCTCTATATTTTAGATTAAAAGTCTCGAATTTGAATTTTTCAAAAATAATTATTTATGTTGTTGAAAGCGTTATCTTGAAAAATGAACCTTACAATATATGAATTTAAATTTAATCGAGTCTGAATATAAATATCGAACAAAATAAGGTATAAATAGGAATGAAAAACAGCTGGATTATATGTCCCATTTTAATGAGTGTTATAAATGGTGCAACACTTAAGTAAAAGACCCCTACCAAAGTAGCTTATGTTAGGTCTAGTAGATTTAGAAATAGGGTTTTTACCCAAATAATTGACCATTTATTTTTCCTAATCGATATACATAGATTCTTGACTAAATATATATCACACCTATATTATATATTTGTTATTTTTTTTTAGTCTAAGCAATTAGGTGATCGATCGAGCAACTATTTAGGTTAATTATTCTTTCAAAGAAACAGATAATTCGTGATATTAAGTTATTTCAATGACAGTATAGAATTAATAACGATATATTTTCAAGGCATGTCCCACGAAAAGAAGAAGAAGAAGGGAGCTATGTTTGAGTTAAAGTTAGAGATGGATAACATTTCATAGCTAATTAACTTGCAACAGTATTATAGGTTGGTGACAAATTTTGTTCGTCGTTAATTTTTTTTTTTTTTTTTAATGATAAAACTATCCTCACATATACAAGATATGTATATTCTTGTAAATTCCCTTTTAGATAGAGCCCAATAAAGAAAACATTGTTCCCCACTTTACTATTATCATCCTTCTCTACCCCATTTTTAAATTTTCAAGTATAGTATATGTTATATTTGCTATACAAGTTGAACATTTGTCAAAAACCCTAGCATTCTTACCTATAACTTAACCAAACACTATGCAAATGAACTAGAATAGCTACCCCCAACTAAAAGTGTGGCACGAGTATAAGTACTTCTCCATTCTTATTAAAAGTTTCGATTTTGAGTTGAGAATGAAATCGTCATTGACAGAAAGCATTTTACCTTTAAAGTAAGACTTTTCAATATAAATTTAAATTAATTGAGTCTCAAAACGAATATCGCGCGAATTAAAAACAAAAGAAATCAAAGAAAGAGGGATAAGGAAAGGGAGGGGTAAACAAAGTGGCAAAAGGAAAGGGGAAAAAAGAGAGACTATTGATGAAAGATAGGGCACTTTTCTAAGTGAGCCCATGTGAACATCTCTAGAGAGATGTGACCTTACTATTATAAAGTATAAATTAGACAAAATTTTCTCAAATTGTACCAAAAAAAAGAGAAACTAGACAATGGTTTTTACCTACCTTTTTTCCTACCCTCTCTCCAATCCTCACTCTATTACTCATTTGAATTAAATGAATGTGAGATAATAGATTAATGAAGTAAGTGATAGTTATGGGAGATTGGAGTTCAAAATTATAATAGAGATGAGAAATATTAGGTAATCTTTTTAATTTACCTAAGTTTTGGAGATAAGAGTTATTTGATGTCTATTCAGATATATGAGGTAGTATATATATTTTGTAGAACAATTTAGATGCGTGCAAACTAGTCCAAAGATCACTCAAATGGAGAGTGCTTACCATTTGAGTAACCCCTCTAGTTGATTTTTTAGTTAAGATTTACCTTAAAATAAAAACTAATTAAATAAACACCCTAAATGACCTTTATTAGTTCTCTAATTAAAAAAACTAAGTTAATGAGTGTCCACATCTGCTAACTTAGATTCCATGGGTGTTTTAGTAATAAACCTTTGTTGTTTTTCTCTATAACATGTACATCATCATTCAATAAGTTGATGATCAGCAAAAAGGCAAAATCTTTTCTTACTTTTTAGTCATTTTCTTTAATTGTTGGTTTGAATTTGTTTTCTTGCTTTCACTATAGTTTCACTAAAGAAAACTAGCTGTCTCCATCTGTTTTTTCTCTCTAAACCAGTTCTTGATTCAAAGCAAAGATCTTGAGGTGAAAGATTGGATTTTTATTTTGTGTCTTTAGTTTCTTGATTTTGGTTCAAATAGATGTAAAAATGAAATCTTTGAGGTGAAAGATTGGATTTTTATTGTGTGTCATTTTAGTTTCTTGATTTTTTGTTCAAATAGATGTAAAGATTGGATTTTTATTTTGTGTCTTTTTAAGTTTCTTGATTTTGGTTCAAATAGATGTAAAAAGATGAAATCTTTGAGGTGAAAGATTGGATTTTTATTTTGTGTCTTTTTAAGTTTCTTGATTTTGGTTCAAATAGATGTAAAGATGAAATCTTTAAGCTCAGTGGGACTTGCTTTAAGTGTGGTATTTGGTTGTCTTTTGTTAGCTCTTATTGCTGAGCTCTACTACTTGTTATGGTGGAAAAATAGGATTCTTAAAACAAATCTTGAAGATGGTTATAGCAATAGTAGCAAAGCAAGAGAGTTTTGTTATATGTTTTGTGGTAAACCTTCAACAACTTCTTTGACTCCCCCCAATGCTTTAAAATCCCAAGAAATTTGTTCATCTGATACACAGTTAGTCCATGAACCAACACAACTTCAACTTGGGTCAAATGTGGATTCAAGTAGTGATTTTTGGTTCAAACCCTTTGGAGATGATTCAATGGATAATGAGTTTATGGGACTTTGTGGACCACCAAGATTTTTGTTTACTATCAAAGAGGAAACTAAAGAGGATTTGGAGTCTGAAGATGGAAAATCCAAGAGTAGAAAAGGATCAAGAACTAGAAGTTTGAGTGATATGTGTCTAAATGTTGAAACTCCTTTTTTAACACCACTTGCTTCACCTTCTTGTTTTACTCCACCTTTAAGTCCTATTGTTATGTCAAAAAATGGTTTCAATTTCAACCCTTTTCTTGAATCAGCAAGTGATGCTGAGTTCAACAAGTTTATAAGGTCTAATTCTTCACCTCCTCCAACATTTCAATTCTTGAGGGATGCAGAAAACAAGTTTTGTAGAAGATTTGATCAAAATCTTGAAGTTTCATCAAGTTCAAAGATGTGTAAAGATCATGAGGAGAATAGTGGACCATTCATTACACTCATTTTCCCTAAGAACAGAGAGGTACAACATGATCAGCATCATGTACAACACTCATCAAGCTCTTCACAAGTACTACCTTTAGCTTCTTCACCTCCAATCCAACAGCTGAACCAACAAGAGTAAATTTTGTTTCATCCCCCCCCCCTCCCAACCCCCAACCCCCAACCCCCACCAACCCTTGATTGTACTAAAAAGAATGACTCATTTTCTTTGTTTTATTAGTGTATGAGTTTTAGAGCTTTATTTTGCTTGCATCATCTTGGTGATTTTGGAGGTGAAGTTAATGACTTAAAAGCCTAGTCATAGTGCAATATTAGTGGAATTTCTTAATTTTTTTTGTTTGTATGACATGATATTTAGAGAGTTGCAAAGTGTTAGCAAAACGAATGGTGAATCATAACCATACTTGAAAGTTGACCTTTTAGTCATTTTTAAGGAGTAACGAAGCATTAGCATAACGAATGATGAATCATAACCTGATACTCGAAAGTTGACCTTTCAATCTGTTTTAGAGTGCAACAAAGTGTTAGTATAACGATCATTACCTGATACATTTTTAGAGCGTAACAAAGTATTAGCATAACAAATGATGAATCATTACCTGATATTCGAAAGTTGACCTTTTGATCATTTTTAGAGTGTAACAAAATGTTAGCATAACGAATGATCTATCATAACCAAATACTCAAAAATGACTAAAAGGTCAATTTTTGAGTATATGGTTATTATAGATCATTCGTTATGCTAACATAACGAGTGATCAACCATAACCTGATACTCGAAAATTGAACTTTTAGTCATTTTTAGAGAGTAACAAAGTGTTAGCATAACAAGTGATAAGTCATAATCTGATACTCAAAAGTTGACCTTTCGATATTTTTAGAGAATAACAAAGTGTTAGCATAACGAGTGATACTTAAAAGTTGACCATTTTTTATTTTTTATTTTATACTTTTAACATTATAAAGAGTAAAGTTCTGTTATCATACTTGAATGAAGTTGAAGGTAAAGTTAATGATAAAAGCCAAGTCACAATGCAATGTTTTCTGAAATTTTCGAAGGGGGAACAACATTCTTTGCAGTCTGCCACACTGCAAATAATGTCCAGATTCCACTATGCAAGTGGTTATTTGGTGGAGGGTGGGGGGGGGGGTGGAGGTTGGTTTGTTTCTATTCAATTTCTGTAAAAATACACCTGTAATCATTCAAGGAGATAATGACAACACTACCTAAGAAAAAATAAATATAAAATATAATAGTTTAGACCACGAATTCGAGTCGCGAAAACAGACTATGATAGAAATGCAAGATAAAGTTCTGTATATGAAATCCAATGTGATCGGATCCTTCCCCGAATCGAGTTGTTACCATAATATGAAATCCACATTGTTAGTTCCGACTGCTTTTTCTTGAGTTGAGAGTCTATTGGAAACACTCTATACATCCTAAGATATGAGTAAAGTCTGTGTATATTTTATCCTATTCAGATTTATTTGTAAAATTATACTGAAGGGTCGTTTGGTGTGAAGGATAGGTACAAATAGTCCTGGGATAAATATTTAGTGGCACTTAATTTAGTGTTTGGTTGGAAAGTTTGGGATAACTTATCCTGGGATTATGAATTAGTGTCGGGATAAGTTATCCCTCATATTGGGTGGTATAGTAATCCCGGGATAAGTTATCCCGAGATAAAATAGGTAAATGACAAATATGTCCCTTTAAATCCTTTTTATACATCATTTTTCACATTTATGTATATTTACATTTTTTTTAATACCATGTATAATAATATTTACTACTCCTTATTTTTATGATAATTATACATATTTTTCTATTAAAAAATTATACTATATAAATATAATTTTTATTATGAATTTATTTGACTAATTCTTATGTTTATTTTATTTTGATTTCTCATAAATTTTCTTCTCTTTAATAAACTTAAGAGGGAAGTTCTATTTTTAAGCTAAATAAGAAAAAAATTATATTTTTAAATACACATGGTACTTATCATGGGAATACATGAACAAAAATATTTAAGTTAAATAAAATAAAAAATTTATTTTAAAAATTATTCACTAAAGCTTGCAAAGAAAAAATTAAAAAGTTTAAATAAAGTGAAGGGTAATTTTGTAAACAAACAACTTGTTCTTAAAATTTATCAATATATATTATTTTGAATACAATCAACCAAACACTCAATAAGAAATAATCTCAGGACAACTTATCCCATCATAACTTATCCAACATAACTTATCCTATCATAACTCATATTCAAACCAAACGACCCCCGAGTATATTGTGGTTTGGGTTGAAGTTTTTTTACTTTCCATATTGCTTTGTGTAATATCTCATTTACAAGTCATAATCTTCCCCATCTTTTTATGCATGCTCTTGAATCATAATGATCTTTCACTAATTTCTTTTCTTTAACACATGTATAATTTTCATTTGAAAATTGATTGACCCACCACAAAAGCACTTTCTTGATTTTTTTGGGTTTATGCATTTTCATTTTTTTTTCTAACTCAGACAAAGAGATCAAGAAAAGCCTTCCTTTTTCACATTTTAGATTTTCCCCTCTAGTAAATAAAGTTTAAAATTAAAATAAATACCCTTTTCCCTTTAAATACTCACCAATTAACATCTGAAATCTATTAATCTGACTAATTTAAATTTGCATCGAATAAATTCACTATGAGATAGAAAGAGTCTCTAATGAAGAATTTGCATCAAATAAATTCACATGAAAAGAATCTATTTTTATTGTTCAAACTCAAAATCTGATAAAACATTCTTTATCAAAATAGTCTCCATTCTTCTAACTCAAATTCAACATCCCTATTTAATGATAAAAGGTGATAACTATCACCAGGAATGCTATGTCATTTTCAATGATCTCAATATATTTTGAATGTTTGAAGCCCCACTGCCACGAAATGATTTAGATAGATGATTATGATGTCTATAACCTTACTTTTTTTTCGATCAAATACTAATTTTGTTATTCTTTTTTCAATTATCAAGCGTGATCGATTCGACTCTTTTCAATCACATCTCTATGTAGATACATGTGTATCAAAATTTGGAATTAACAAATTGTTGTTTCTTTAAGTACCTTTTATTTTTAGTGATTATATAAAGTTGGACCAGAGATAAAGTACCAACTAAAACATAATGACAAAAGTAGGAGAGATGAAAATAATAAATTGTGGAGAGTGGTGAAAAATTGGCATTTTCTGTAAAGAACAAACATGTACACTTACCCGTGATTATATCTCGTGTCGCAGGCCGAAAGGTAAAATTCACCTTAAAGAATCATTTGGTCCATTTGCCTTTACCAACCTTTTTTTAAAATATATTATTATATTATATAGTACAAATGAAAATATTACTATATAGTGTCAAATAAAAATGAAATAGACATCTTGAAAAAAAATAAGGAAATAAGTAAGGTTATGGTGGAACGAACATTATCATCCCTCCATCCTTGATCAAAAGTCTTAAAATTTGTATCTTGAAAATGAAAATATTAGGATAAAAAGGGTTTCCTCCTTTAAATGGGCTTTACATGCAAACGTGGACCCAAGATTTGAAGACGAGAGGACCGAAAATTTTATCAAATGTATTAACCTACATATGAGTTAAATGACCTTACTTGATTGTGGATTGATGATTGTGAGCCCCACCTTGCACCCATGAGGTCGTCTGTTTGAAACTTGTCATCACCGCCCCACATGGTCTGGAGGGGGTCACGGGACCCATTTACACCACAACCCATGATACAACAACATACCTTGTATAATCCCACAAAGTGCTGTGATACATGATCAAATTCAAAAAAATTTTTGGATAACCAAGAGATCCCCAAGGCCAATTGTGCAAGATTGAAAACTTGGTGGATAATGAGTCCACTTACTATCCTCCACTTAAATACTAAGCTTTTGTTGGCAGGATCCAAATCCGTGACATGCACTTAACCCACATATCACGCGGTACGCTCTTACCACTAGACAAATCAATTATTAGATAGGCGACTACTTGTGACAAAGCCACTATCATTAACATATCGGAGCAGAATGTTAAAAATGCTACAATAATTAGGTGATCACTTTCAAAGGTAATGAACAAAACAAGGTATAAAGCTGTATCATCAATGCCAAAAAACATCTTGAATCAAATATGCTATAGTTTAATAATACACAGAAAAGACTAAAAGAAATAGATAAAAAGTATCAATACTTCTATCTCGAAGCAACTTAATTGTACCTGGGCCTTGAAAATCATTGTGATCATGAGCGCAAGGCGAGATTCATAGCAGCTGCACAGGTCCAATTGTTGTACCCAGTTCAGTGCAGATTGAATTGAGGTCGGGTTCCTCTAACAGACTAAATGCACAAAATCCATAATAGGCATGATAAAGATCTGGCAGCTGCTCCGGAGTCTTACCAAAACCACCATACTGTAGAACAAAAAAAAAAAAAAAAAGGTTTGAATTTTAGCAAGCTGAAAAAAAGTCTGTGCTAATGTTCAAGCAATCATAGATGAGATAAAAGAAAGAGGAGAAGCCAAAGCACCTGGGATTGACAGGTGAAAAGAAATTTACGTAAGCCTTCATGGTCTATGAGCTTGTGAGCCCCTAAGATCTTTAGAATTCCTCCCACCCTAATCAAGGATATCAACTTGTCAGGCCAGAAGAAATAAAAATGATATCTATTGAAGATAAAGCAATTCGAACTCACCAGAAAGCATAACAGGTGTCAGTAGCTTTGTTTAGTCTACCTTGGAATCCACCATCAGTCGTTGCCTGTCTCTGCAAGAAGCAACATTGAGTTACACCAAATGCAAGACAGAAAGATGGTATGGACAATTTCTCCATCAAAGGATTGAATTTGACAAATAGTCATCGCTGCCGGAGTTCTTTTTTCCTACTTCCTTACTTTGTTCTACATTACACTTTCTTTACCGTTTGTTATCTGATATCTTTAAATCCTATACGTTTAATCTTTGGAGGAATACTGAAAAGCATATGTAGCAGAGCAAAATAAGAACTTCATACAGTATTCGATGAAATTTTACCTGTAGGCACCAGTCTAGAAGCAAGGGCACGTTTATGAAACAAGAGGAGACATTCTTCGATAATATATC